ACTCTACACTATTCGACAAGAAATACATTCATGACAACAAGGATACATTTAGTTGTGTTTCTATACAGCATTGTGACACCTTGTATATCTGTAACACAATAAATAAATAAATAAATAAACAAACAAATAATTAAATAAATAAATAAAATTTTCTATAACAAAATTAAACAAAATATAAATTCTGGTCCTTTGGTCCACCTTTGTAAAATAATTCCTCCCTAATCAGTTAGCTTTTATTTATTTTTATTTATCTATTTTTTTATTATTAAATGTTTGGTTAAGGGACGCATTGCTAATTCTATGGCGTTAGCTATAACGCCCCTGAGGACCTTGTACATCTAGGCCGTACCACCATTAACTGGCGGTTTGAGCCGTTAACTCCTGGGAATCCCATATGCCCTACCGCCGTTAACTGGCGGTTTGAGCCGTTAACTCCTATATGCCCTACCACCGTTAACTGGTAGTTTGAGATGTTAACTCCAGGGATCTAACGTCTAGCAGCCCACTGCTGTCACCTCGGTTGCTGTAATTAGCTTTTTGAATTTAATAATTTACTGAATTTAATCTCATTCACTCACCAACGCGCTCCAACGGTTCCCTCCTACAGAGGATTGGTTCACTCTGTCGTCTCCACACAAATCTATAAGAATGGAATTAATTTGATAAGCTATTTAAGTTTCCTTTTTTTTTTAAGTTGCATCGTTAGCTTTTTCTCTTCTTTTTTCTTTACTCACCGCGTTGGTTCCAAGTTCCTAGCTCTTATTAGAAGGAGTCAAGTCCGCCTCTCCCTCTATCTATGCGGCACCCAAATCAGGGTTCTTCACGGCCTCGACCGTTGTTTTTTTTTTCTCTCTCTCTCTCTCTCTAACCGCTCAGTCTTTGCTTTCTGTATCTGCGTGCTGCACAGCCGTTTGTCTCTCCTCTCGCTCAGCTGCGTCGCACGGTTTTATTTCGCGGAGGCGGGACTTATTTCTCTCAGCCAATGAAATTTCAGATTCCCACCTGGACCAATAGTATACAGCTTTCCTCTTCTGTTTCTGTTAGTGATGTTCAAGATTCTTGTTTTAACCGATGTTTAATATTAAACTCGTTATTTTAGTTATTCACCCTTCCAATAATTCATTATGAAATTATCTATTAGTTAATTAGATATCTATTAATTAGTATTGTTAATTTCCTTAATTTATATTTTATATTTTATCTAAATTGAGGATGGATCATATTAGTAAGCCAATTAGTTAATACCTCATTAAGGTTCTAGCTTCTGGGTTACAGTTACATGAGATTCTGAGACCTCTATCTCATCAACATGATTAACACTTTCCTTAAAAAGCTGTTGTATATAATCTGATGCATGCATCCTGCCCTGTGGTGGGTTAATTTGCCTTTACAGGCAGCTAAAGTCTAGTTTTGGTCATTTCCAACATGGCTGCTCCCAGTAAATGATCTATTTGCCGTTTTCGGGATGATCATTGCTAAGTTTTGAGAAGTTCCGGTAAGAACATCAGACTTCTAAGTTTTTTAAATAAGTGTTTTATGTCTTGAAAAAGTGCACTTTAGTTAATTAACCCATTCTTTATATTACAAATAAATGGTGTTAAAATGTGTGTATCAAATTTGATACTGCAGGTATAAAATATGCTTTTTCCCTGAATTGACATTTTTCTAATTTTATCTACATAATACTTACTAAAATACAATTACACATTATTTTGATGACTCAATGAATCTAATCAATCACTGAAATTCTTCTGCCGGCTCTTGGAGGGTGCAGACGCTTTTTTCCTCCTCTCCTCCATATCTTATCCTCAAGGCCCTTTGTCTGTCTGTGTGTGCTGGGTGCACGGCTGCTTCTGCATTTTTTCTGGAAACTGGAAACTGAAATTCACTAAAATGGATCTCGTCAGTTGGTCACTCAACGTGGTTGATAACATTTTTTCAACGATGAGAACGGGAGAAGGGGCTCCCGGATGCCCCTCCGTGACAGACCAGCTGTCTGTGGAGGACTCTGAAGATGTGTGGATATTCGTGGTGTTGGTGTCAGGTTTCCTGCTCATTGGTCTTGGCGACTCCTACACCGCCCGTAAAAGGCCACACTGCAATGTAGCTCCTGATGTGAAAAAGGATGGCATTGACCATTTTCCTATATGGGAAACCTGACAGAGATGCAAGCACTGTTGGGCAATCATTTTTCACATGTCTACTGTGGGAAGTGTAAGATGCATCTTTGCTTGAACAAGAAACTGTTTTTCTGCCAAACACAATGTGAAATGCAAAGGCTGTAAAACGTGTTATGTGAAAACAAATTTGAAAAAACATGTTTTAAAATGTTATGAACAGTTTTTTTGTATAGAATGAACATTAATGTTAACAAAAAGTTGTCAGACACCCACCACCAAATGCAATACAAAAAAGATCTCATAAATGACATGATTTAGCAAAAAACAATTTGTGGATTTTGTTAAAAGGGTCAATAAACATCTCAGTTAAAAAATATCACAACTTTCTATTTTTTAATGGGTTGAAAAAATAAAGCCTATATTTAGAAAGCAATAAGATTTATTAACATGATCTAAGCCTAAAGCTGCATGAAAAATGATGCTAAATGGATAGAACAGAGAAATGTTATCTAACTAAAATAATAAAACTATTTTATGTACCTACAGAACACACCAAAAGCACCAAGAAAGGAAAGTAATGTGATATTCGGCACTAGTAGTTTTTGTAGCTGCAGCAGGTGTTCACTAGTAGCTGTAGAGAAGCTTCATGAATAAATATGGACGTTATTTGAAGGTTTTATTATCACTCGTCGCCTGAAGGCAAAAGGTGACAAAATATTTCATCAACCACTGGGTGGACTTTAATGAAACTCTCCAAAAGTTAGACCAGAAGAACTTTAATATAGGAAAAAAGTTTAATTTAAATCTCTGGCGTTAGAGACAGCAGGTGATATGCATTCATTCAATAATCACCAGAGCTTTCATCATTTATTATCATCTTAATTTGATCATGTATGCTTAGAAGAAGCATTACAGAGATTTATAATCCAGGAAGGATTTATAGAATCAGTTGTGGCAAACTGGAGGTTCAGCATTTCTAATGAAATAATAAATGTAGTCCGGTCAGAGTCTCCAGCCAACCAGCTTCCACCTAGGACCAATCTTCCCAGCAGCCCCTCGCCAGGATTCCCATCGTTCCATACCTACGTCGCCAACCGCGGCTATACACGGAAGTCGCCTTCCATCTCAAGTCACTCAGACATCGTTTCTTCGAACCCATGATCAGATTTACCAACCTACAAGTTCTTCAAATGAACTCTCTTCAGCCAGTAAGTGCCCTTGACTACTTTCGGAATAGCTCCGCGCTTCCGTTTTACTTCGGTCAGCGCTCGGGCATTCCTAGATTAAATCTCGTGCCGGCTCAACCCCAGCGCTCGCTCTTTTGCGTCTGGGAAGTCACACACGCTACAGCTTAACTCCTAGTCGCCCGAGCGTTGTGACAAGTCCTCTGTCTTTATTGTCATTTGGTTTAGACATCACCATGCTAACTTGAATTAAATATAATAATAATAATAATAATAATAATAATAAGCTAAATTTTGCTGCTACATTTCAAAGTCTTCCAATTGGGAGGTGTTATGGCTCAAGAGGTTGGGGGGCCGGGCGGAAAGGTCTGGCAAGCCAGATGTGGCCCGTGGGCCGCCAGTTGCGGTTCACTGTCTACAAATTTTCCCAAAGTTCTGTGATCAGCTTTTAGTTTTGATGCTGTGCTTCATCTCAGATTGTTTGTTAAGGCAGCACTTAAGAGTTTTAACACTTGCTTTCAAGCTGGTTTCAGTGATTCTTGAGGCAAAACCTTGAGTAACCTCTCATTGGACAGCACTCTGCTGCCCTCTGCAGACCACAAACTGCACTAAATAGTTTAGTGGTTTGGAGTAGGAACACTAGTGGGAGGTCTCTTACTGCTCTGCAACAGCTGTTTATTGTGCTGGTAGCTAATATAAAGGCTAGTAGTTAACTTTTTCAGTTCAAACTGTCTACTAAAATCACAGAGCCTGGAAACAAAAGTAAGAGAGTAATGTCTTTGAAGACCAAAGACAGAGCTACAACTGGGGTGAACATTGGGTCGACCTACACTGAGGGAGCTGAAGGAGGATACAGAATCCAGGGCTGTCAACTTTGAACAATTAAATGCCTGACAGCCGGGAGGTGGGTTGATGCGCAGACCGTTTCAACCTGTTCAGTGACCATCAGAACGGAGTGGGGGGTTGCTAAAATCAGAGTGAGATATTGGAGGTGTGGCTCACGCTCAATGCGTGAGAATTGGCAGCCCTGAGAATCACGGGCTGATGCTGACCTGGCTTTGTTGCACTGGGCTCGTAATATTTTTGTCCAACAGTGTGGGTCTTTTTCCTTCGTGACTTATTTAGTATCAGCTGGCTCATGTTAGCGCCATAGGCATGAATACGGACACCCCGTTGGGCGTTGGAGAGCATAACAGCGTTGCCGCCATGCTGGAATGGGTCTCCTCACTGTCCAAAGTCAAAGCAGAGTAACTATGCCCGTTTTTTGCAGCCTACGGTTACAACAGGCCGGCGTACTATTGAAAGCAGATCATGAGGGATTACTAGTGACTTTTCCAGCCTACCTGATGGCATTTTATATTTTGTTTAATTATATTTATATTTCAATTATTATGCCATGTGTCTGATTTTGTGAAAAAGCTTGATAAAATGTGTTTTTTATTTGGGAAAGTGCCTTCTTCAGTACAAATAAATGCACTGGGGCCAATGGAGACTCATCTAAGATGGCAGCCGGCCACTATGGCTGCTTCAATAGGCAGCACCAGTCTACGGGGCGTCTCGGTCTGTGGTTAGCGCTAGCTACAGCAGCTGTGTCAGGGTTGTGATTCCACTTACAACCAGTAAAACGGAGAAGCGGGAAACGTATTAAGTGTTGCTTCAAACTCAAAGATAAAAAATCAGACACTTCAGTCAGAGGCAGGATCACAGAGCATGATGGTTTATTTTAAACGCAGGAGTTCTCCACATCCAGTCAGTGAGATGAAGAACGTTACATCACATGTTTCACCCACCCAACTCATCAACAAACAGCTTCACCAGACCAACAGTTACAAGGTAAAACAGCGTGACAGAAACCCCCCCGCTCCCCTGGCGTGACCTCACGCCGCTCCTCAACTCTCATGTTCTTGATTTTCTTCAATTTTATTTGATCACATGTACATCACACCACACATGGAAGGAAAATGAGAGCGCCCCCTTTAATACTGGACAGAAGCCTGAATCAGTCCAGCGGCTGCCGACAACATCACAACTTCTCTTTGAAACGACAGTCGCTAAAGGCTCAACCACAGCACGAGCAGATCACAGAGAAAATAAACAAACCAAAACAAAACCACAGACAGCAATATTCTGAGATGATTCCAGTAAACTTCACTGGTCATTGGTGTGTACAGCAGGTTCCACAGGATTCACGTGATTCTTTTATCAGGCATGAGAGGAAAATGTTATGTTTGACGAATGCACGGACACAAAAAGGCAACAGTTCATGATAAACATGACAAATAACAGCAACATATTACAGTAAAAATAATTACAAAAACAAGCAAAGTTCCTACATAAGAAGACCGTTGTGCACAAAAGGCACTCAAATGTTATGTCTCACTTACACAAGTGTATAAATAAAAAATCTACTTAAATAGGAATATTTCACCTCATATAATCATGTGCTTTTGGAAGTAATGGCTGAGAGACAAAAAGAGCAATAAGGATCGATTTAGGCATCTTGATCCTGATCACAGCTGCAGACCGACCTCGTAATGCCCATCAAAGCTCAACAACGGCTGACTCATTAAAAGGAGCTCACGCCAGCAGGAACCAGCAGAGGGTGCGAGAACGCTTTAAATGCTGTGTTGTTTTTCTTTCATTTTGGCTTTTGAAGTTCTCCTCGTCTGCTCAAGCTGATACTTGCATCCAAAACAAGCGAATAGGACAGCACGAGACTCCGTTTGCAGCATGTCTGTATCAGGATTCAGTCTGGTTAATGACCAAATGGGATAATTACTTCAGATGAATCAACAGAGTGAATTGTTGCTATCATCTTGGCACAACTCTAAACATAAAAGTGTCATGTCTGCTCATGGGAACCGTTCTATAAACCTTTATGTTGCAGAACATTTTATCTGTCATGGTTATTCTGACCAAAACGGCCACAGGCAGCAAGATCTACCAAACCTGCAACTGATGGCCATAGAACGCTATAGAAAAAAACCATGAAATGTAAAATTAGCACCATAAAAGAGTTTTAATGTGAATCACTGTGATGTAAGTGTTGATTTGAGTGTGGCAAGGTGGAGAAACGAGGGCCTGGGTGGGATTCGATCCCCAGACTCCCGGGTGAGAGTCGCGCGCTAACCAGTCAGCCAAAGGGACATCCCCGTGGCCGGGTAGCCAGGGCGCATGATCAATCAGGATACGGTGACAGGACGCTCACACTGTCACATAAGGCAGCACAAATCCACCTTGATTGTGGCCCAACTCTGACTAGCAGTGGGTTCCTCAGTCCAATCAGAACCAATCTCTGTATCCTCAACCTGAGGTTGTTCTAAGACGTTTCTACAACATAAGTTTTAAAATGATCTGAACCAACTTTCTCCCTCAAATTAAGCAGCTTGTTCTCATTTCTAGTCACACTGTTATGGTTTAGGTCAAATACCTTAAAAATAAAATAAAATAAAATAAAGTTTCCAGTCAAAATTTAACTGAACAGGGTTTTTTTTTCAACAAGCCAAGGCACCAAAACTGACAACTGGACCCTTTTGTATTTTAAATATGGAACTGAAAACCAGACAACTGAAAAAAAAAGCGTTGAGCTCAGATGAATTGCACAAACATCTGGTTGTCCTTCGATCAGAAGCATGTCCTGCATGGCTGAGACTCACCAACTGCGTCTGACATTTTCAGCTCAGAACTGGACTTAAACCTGCCAAACGCTACGGTGGACACAAAGACAGGAGGAGGCGTGTAAAAAGTGTAACAGTCAAAGTTAAGCTCCCACATTCCTCAAGCTAGGTCAGGAGAGAACCGGACGCTATTGCTTCTGAAATAATAAAAATCACTCAAATCAGATTTTACATGAAACAACCGAGAAAGCCGTCAAAGCTGGATTTCATCAGTAAAAACAACATTTATTCAGTCTTTGTTCCACAGTGCTATTTCCCTAATGGTACACACAAAATGACTTTCAATGTATTTTACAATCAAAAAATGTTTGTATTTACTGTAAATCATAAAAAAAAGTTGGTTTATGAGCTCTACACCCCTTCTTTTTTATTTACCTGTACACAATTAACACTTACAAATGACTATCTCTGCATTATGTACACCTTTCCAACAGGATTCCTATGTTAGGTGGTGCTTTAGCCTCCCGCTTTTTATTTACAGCACAAGGGAGAAAAAAAGACAGAAACATGGGCGAGTTGTGTTTGCTCGCTGTCCATCCATGCACGACGGTGGAGGACGGTTCGTTTTGTATTAAAGTGACACTGATTAGCAGTCCTCTTCATGCCAAGATGCTTCATCCACTGAAAAAAGGAAACACACGTGCCAGTTGTAAGATCTAGCTCAGCAGGATAACAAGTTTATCGAATATTTGGAAATGTGGAACTTTAAAGGGATTTTTTTCCAGTCACTTATCTGTATAAAAAGTATCAATACACTCTTATTAATTCTAGATAGCTTCTTGAACGGCCTCTGTTTGGAGAAATAGAATTTACATCCTAGCGCGGGTGCACACTTGCCTAGTGAACTAGACCAAATTCTTGCTTTGCAAAGTTTGGTCTAGGAACGCTCCACTGGAACCTCTGCAGCCTCTAACAGCATTCTGGCTGGCCAATCACAGCTCTCTAGAGGGGTTTCAAACACATAAAGAGCTGTGATTGGTCCATAATGGTGGGCCAATCATAGTGCTCTATCTGCTTAGTGAACAAATCACAGAGCTTTATCCGCTTTGTGGGCCAATCAGGGCACTCTATATGCCTGGTGGGTGGGATGATGCAACAGAGTGAAACAAGATGGCGACAGCTCGTTTGAAACAGCTTTTACATCAGTTTTGGACTATTAGAGCTTGGGCATCATTAGAATCAGGAGCAGATAGATGTATTTAAGTGCTTTTTTTTTTTTTTTTTTTTTTAAATGATGTGTTTTCTCCTTCTTCAACTGTGGACCGTCTCGTTTACCGATGGCTGTTGTGGTGAGAATGTCACATTCATTGTCCAGTAGCATGCAGAGATCATTTGAAAGACAACGGTAGAACCCGCCCCACAACCGAGAGCCGTCAATGGAGCATGGCCAGACTAAATAATAAATTTATGTAGTCTGGCTTGCCAGACTAGGTGCACACAGGACCACGGTGTGTTAATGCCGTCTTAAACCGACTCCATCCTCAACATAGAAGTCCACTATTATCAAAATAACCTTTACACCATTGCCAGTTTTGCATGGACCATGTTGTGTAAAAATATTATAGTCATCCTCATCCACTAAATGTAGCAGCAAGAGCATCTAGAGCAGGGGTTACCAACTCCGGTCCTGGAAGGCTACCATGCTGCACATGTCTGCTGCTGTATGTAATAAGGGGTGTTTTTTTTATACAATAGAACACTTTAAAATGGCTGAAATATCATTGTGATGGTGCCATCATGAGGTCTAAACCTACTATTCTTGTACTGGCTCAAGCCTTATGCCATATACCCTTTAGGTGATGCAACTCTTTTCATTTCCCTTTTTCCCCCAAACCCTGCATGCAGAAGCAAGAGTCACCTGGATGTTACTTTGCTGAACGTCCAATGTTTTAAGTTCTTTTTAAAAAGAAAGCGTGGTGACATGAAGTACGTTTGTATTTACAGAAACGAGTCCTGCGCCCTCTCAGAGTTAGTATTTTAGCCTGGATGCCTGCATCAGTCCAGTCAACATGTCAGCCGGACCGACTTTTACACAAGTATTGCTTCAGGGCCACAGACGTCTGTTCACGCTGACGTGTAACTGAAAGACAAGTAGACATTTAGGGTTAAGTCAAAGAGAGCTGAGCTGTACGTGCGACATTGCTACAGCTTCCTCTGCTGCTCTGTCGCCATGGCAACATAGCTGTTACCATGGATGTCAGCTCTCCTTTCACTCTGAAAGCCTCCTCACCGCTACATGCTAACAGACTTGTCCTCGCCGTCACCAGAAAGGTTCATGTTGGAGCCTGAGGCGGGGCTGTTGCTAGGGAACATCTTCTCGGTGGGGGTAACGGCGGGGCTGCCAACGCCCGAGGAGCTGGAGCTGCTGGAGCGGTGCGGCGTCGGAGACGGCCGCGTCGGTCTCATGGACGGAGGGCGGAGCTGGGCCCCGACCAGCCGGGCAGAGAGAGCAGGCTTGAAGGTGGTCATCATCTCTGAGGTGGAGCTGCTGCTGCGGCGCATGGCGGCGTCCGGGTCACGGATCATCATGATGGTGTTAAGCAGACCGCCGGGCTCTGAGCTGACGGGGTTCTTCATGGGCTCCAGCGTGTCCAGAACCACATCAGGAGCCTGTTTGACCGCATTCTGTCGTTCCAGCTCACGCAGCTCATGGAGCGCCGTCGTCATGGTTTTCTCTATGTCCTGCAGAGATGAAGCAGAAACTCGGTCAGCTCACGGCAGAGAGATATTCAGGAGGACTAAAACAACGCATGTTCACTGAAGCACCAAAACAAAATGAAACTATTCACTAAATTATCATTCTAGTTTGTCTCCCTCATGAAGACACGGGCCATGAGGTCTGACCTCAGCTAACGCCTCCGTCTCCAGCGTTTTGTGGTCCCCCAGGCTGCTGTGGCGTGTGGCCCCTGTTACAGGTCTCAGTGGGTGTCCCTCAGGGTACACCTTCCTGTCGGGGTAGTTGATGCTGCCCGCACTTCCAAAAGTACCAAGCCGCCTTTTCTCTGGGCTCTCCATGCGAGTCTTGCTGATGGACATTTTGTGAGGACTACTGGGACAAGCTGCCGCCCTCGGAGGCGTGTCAGTTCCTCTGGTTGGACTCTGGGTCTCCGTCCCGCTCCGACGGCGCGGGATCGCAGCTCCATCCGACTGTAACCGCACCCTACAGAGGAACAAACCCATGAGGAGAACTCCTCCTTTTAAAATGTGAGACGTGTTTGCTTTTAGCTCCGTTCACCTCCCCACGACTCCTCCGAAGGTAGGATCCAGTGACTGGTCGCTTGGAGATGGGATGTCGTTCTTGGACGACCCCTTTTCTTCCAGCAGCGGCCCACTGCTGGCTTCGCTGTCTGCTTTCTGACTCAGGTTATCTGAGAAGGCGTCGTCCCTGACGGAGCGGAGATAAACACAAACAAAATCCCTCAAGTCAAAAGCAGAGGACGTATTTGTTACAGCGCGAGGGGTTACGTACAGGTCTTGTACGACGATATACTGATGCGGGATGAGTCCATCCACGCCGTTGTGGCGTCCCTCCCACCAGTCCTCAGATGCTCGGTGGTACAGGAGCAGAGAGGCTCCCTTCTTAAAGGACAGCTCTCGGGGACTGCGTCCCACGTAGTCAAACTTAGCGATGGCTTCGATCTGCTCGATCTCTGGAAAACACAGACAAGAAGAAAAAACATTTAAACAGGACTACCTTTTATAATTAGTTAATTTAGTGTCTAAAACCACGAGCAATCATATTTACATGCTGTAGAAAAAACAACTGAGGTGAAATAATACAAAAAAAGTTCTTGGGTGTTTAATACGGGATGAAATGTAAATAATTACCATCAATTCACAATTGGAGGCATTTTAGTAAAAGGTTGCGTAATAAGACTGAGACTGAGAGGCTAAGCAGTAAAACCTCAGAGGTTACCTGGAAAAATAAATAACAGCTACAAGATTTAGAAATGTAAGATTCTAGAGGAAAAATGCTATTAATGGTGAGATTTATTTATAGGAAGTAATGATGAATATGCAACAGATGAAACAATTTCTTTACACAAGAGAAAAGATGGAGTCAAATGGAACTGGAATAAAACACAAACAGTGAAGAGCACAGTTCATCACTGCAACCACAATGGGTGAATAAGTCATCTAAAACCGAAAGAAGAGAGCAAAAACCCAAACATTCAACTAAACAAACACTCCTGTATTAACGGGGGCGTGCGGGCTTGAAGCGCAAATAATCCTGAACTGGTTGCAGGTTTTAACCCTCTCAGGCTCTAAGTAAGTTTTGATAAAAGGACGAACAACTAAGTCCTTCAGGGGTACTTCGGAGTTAAAAATGCTCATGGATACGTGTGTGGAGTAACCAGGCAGGCAGGTTTTAACGTTGCGAATCTGCAACGCCGGCCTCCAGAGGGTTAAAACACCGAAAGCAGCTTGAGGATTATGCGGTTTGTGCTGCAGCATCATGGTGCAAGAAGGGTTCAATAAAAAAAAGTCCTTCTCAGGGAAGAAGACCTCTTTTAGTTCTGCAAAAATAAAAAATACACATTCAAAGGTTCCATATCATGTTGTTTTAGACCTTTCAGAGCAACGGTGGGCACAGGAGATGATCAAATATTACTGTTGGCACTACTGAGATGTCATTTATCTTAAATACGAGTTATTTTCATCAGCCTCAATTTATACCTGCAAATAAAACGCTTGGTTTCAGTGAAACTCCGCCCACGCCGGCTCTGACAAGATGTGCCACAGCAGCATCTTTGGCGAGTGGATTGCTGTATTGGTTATGGTGGTCCAGTGGTTAGGGCATGTGTCTGGGCACTCTAACCACTAGTCTCTTACGCCACATATCCTGTGCTGGCCAGGGGTGACAGATTTTAGACCAGAGACTAGCTTCCAGGACAGGAGCAAGGCCCAAGGAGGAGTTTCCATTAAGGCTTTAGAGGATTTTCAAAGTAAAACTCAAACTTTACAATTGAAACAGGTAATTGCATCCAAAAAGGGTTTGTTTGTTTGTTTGTTTGTTTTTTTCACGGGGAAACAACAATATCACATAGTAATAAGCTCCAAAGAGTGGATTTTCCATGATGGGGTAAAAGAGAGCTCACAAGCCCATCACATGGGCCTCTTAGTCTCTAGTCTGCTTTTTTAGAAAGATTCTAAAATATAAAACGTAAATCTGAGTAATGTTTCAACTCCAACCATGGATGATTTTTCAGTTGGATAAGAAAATGTCAAAACAAACCCCTCATTATAAAGTGATGTTTCATTGAAATATTACAAACCTATGATCCTTTCTATGATCCTGTAGTTCTTCCAGCCGTCCAGTAGGAGGCAGTCTGAATTAATAGGACTGTTCTCTGTCCTAATGAGAAAACTCTGATTCAAAATCCACCAGAGTCGGGTGTTAAAGCGGGAGCGTTTTAATGCAGCATTTCTTCAAATGTGCTTTTAATTCTGTTCAAATCAAACAAAAAAGGCTCCAATTATGACAGCAGGAGGACGACTTCCCAATTACCATGAACCTGTTTCTCTTTCAGGAGAAATGAAGCGGAGCCAGAGCGCGCCGACAGCAACACCGGAGCCTGTGATTTCTAAAAGACTTTCTGAAGCAAGGCCTTCGAGTTACACCAGGCTGGAAGCTTTTGTTCTCTGTTCCAAGAGAGGGAAAAATAAATGGCGTCAGCACTTGTTAGCGGCAACGCCAGCTCACAAAGATGGGATTTAAAGATAGGTTCACACAGGTCCCTTTCATCGACAGCACAGGAGATGGGGCTCTGTGTAGGAACAGCGTTTTGGGCTTTTTGTGCCTGGCCCAGTTAGGAATTCAACGCTCTGAGGACGGCGGGGGAAACAATACAAAGGAGAAAGTCCCAGGAGAATCGCTGACTAACACTGAACAAAGAGCGAGCGGGGGGGGGGGGGGGGGGGGGGGGGGGGGGGGGGGGCACTCATGCACACACAGAAACACGGATCAAAGAGGCCGTGCTGCAAGCCAGCACTGTTTACTCAAGTTGCTTTCAGCCTCTAACATCAGAACCTGCTGCAGCTCCAGCTTGGCTTCTCAACCGAGAAGAGAGCTAAAAGGGTCGGTCTGCTCCAAAAACCACCGAGTCTCGTAAAACAACCGCGTACGTCTTCAGGACTGTTGGACAACTAAGATCAAATGTTTAAAAGATACGAAAACCCCAAGAGAAGCAACAAGACTCATCTATAGAGGTGGAGGGGGCACACACACACACACACACACACACACACACACACACACACACACACGGGTACCAACCTTCGTCACTGGTGTGTGGCTCTGTTCCATTATCAGCTTCATCGATGGTTCCTGGTTCACTGTGGGGGCTGTCACTAATGCAGCAAATGAAAACACTCACATTCATCACTAACGACTTTAATAATTAGCTGAGGAAGTTCTATTACAGCGAGGCTCACCAGTACTCCTCCCCACCAGCCATGCACTTCTCGTACACGGGTCCGTCCAGCTCACGCTGGTTTGGGAAAATGACTTCGTGGTGGACGATGATAGTCTTGATGACTTCGTTAACGTGGGCCTGACACACCACGGGATCCTGTCCATCCGGGATGGGCATCAGAGTCGGACCGAAGCAGATAGCCAGGTTGTACGGGTCCATCATGTTCTCGTCGCTGTACTGGGACAGACTGGGAGGACAGGACAAGCTTTAGGGGACACATCCCGAAACTCAGACCAGAGCTGAAGAATAGTTAGTAACAATTATTTTGTTTGTTGTTTTGTTGAATGTCCTCAGTTTGGAGAAGTAAAGCATATATTAGAGCAGATGGATGAGCTAACAGCTAGTCTGATGCTATTTTAGATCATCTTATAAAAGTGGTTTAGAGCAGGTCCGCCGCTAGGAGGTTGCGCTGGAAGAGCCGCTCCTTGACATGGAACCAAACCAGGGTCAGGACCTGGCAAAACAGTGAGAGGCAGATGCTCCGCCCACTAACCCACCAAACCGGATACAAGGGCTTTGTCACCCAAGAGGATGTGTCGTACACGCGTCTTGTTGATGGCCTTGGGGGGCGGGGTTCGCTCCGCTTAGAGATAGCCAGTGTTCGAGAGTGTGTGTGTGTGTGTGTGTGTGTGTGTGTGTGTGTGTGTGTGTGTGGTGGGGTCTCATGGAAGTCTTTTTTTAAGCTGGACTGGTTGGTGCCCCAGTCACATGGTGCTCTACGTACAGAGTGATGCGTGTGGGCGGACTGCTGGTTTAGAGTAGCGTTTGCACGAACTACTATTTGAGATTCAAACTAGCCTTTAGCTTGTCAATCCAGTCAGAACTTCATTCTCTTTCTCCAAACTGAGGTCATTCAAAGAGCGATCTACAGCAGGTGAGATGTCAACTCTCCACCTTTCCACTAAACCTTTAACAGAGCTGAACTGTTGCAGCAAGCGCCAGTCCTTTGTTTATTTTTTTATCCAACAACTCCTGATTTATGCATTTAATGAGCATTTTATTTATTTATTAGATCAGTAAAGTGACGCATGTGAAGAACTGGGCCGAAATAAGGAAAATCAAGAATGTTGGATATATCCAGTGTTGGGAGTAACGCCGTTTAAGTATAACGGCGTTTCTAACGGCGTTCTTTTATAGGTAACGGAATAATCTAATTAATTACTTTTCCCGCCGTTGCAACGCCGTTACCGTTACTGGGGACGGAACGCTGTGCGTTACTATGTGCTTGTCGAACGTTGAGCAACAGTGTGAGGCTTTCCGACCGCCACACTTCAGCTGCAGCCGGGGAGAGAGAGGTGTCGGTAACACACTTACAAACACGATGATGATTGGCCGGGTGGGCGGAGACCCTCACGGTCTCAGTCACTGCATTCTGTAGACACAACGGTAATAACTCCGTTTAAAATAACCGCGTTAATAAAAAATATGTCTTTCTGTAACAAGCAAACTAATTAATTACCCGCTTCTTTTATCAAAACGTTGTTCCTGTTACTGGTAAGGAAATGCGTGCGTTAAGCAGTGCGGTGTGTTGAAGCTGTCATCATCAGCTGATCAGGAGCTAAAGAGGCAGATGTTTAAGAGCATCATGGCCCGTGAAGAACGAGGAAGACGTGATGAATAGTCTACGGCTGCAGACCCGCAGATTTGTTGCTGCAGCAGCGAATCTGTGGGTCTGCAGCCGTGCCCTTAGCGTGACAGCGGGACGTCCCGAAGGTCCGCTCACCTGTTCACCGCTCAGACGTCCTGATCTTCCACCTTCCTAGATCATCCAGCTGTAACCTGTTTCTGATCATGTCTTTAGTCCCACTGTAACACTGATGTATCAGTCTCAGACGTCATGGAGCTCAGGTGTTATTAGAACTACCTGTGTGTGTTCACCACCCAGCTTCAGCTCTTCTGTGGTTGGGTCTGACCCATGTTAGTACATTTAAGTCCAAGGCTTGTGCCTCTTCTAGTGTCATTTTAAAGGATATTTATTTATTTATTTAACCGATACTAGATTAGTAGCAACAGAAATGCTACTAAAAACACACAATTATGTGAAGCTGTAAAAATTAGAATGCTGTGCAAAATTACATTTATTTCTGTAATTTAACTAGACTGAGAGACCATTTAAAGGCTCGGGAACCTTTACAGGTGTTTCTATTTGCAATTTTAAATTTGAGCTGATTGGGTTTTTGTTAAATATCACACAGTGACCTTTTAATAGTCTAGATTAGTGTAATGTTCCTATTAGTTCCTCCTGTTAAGTGCCTATTTGTTTTAATTATTCAGGTTTATATAAAACATTTGGACATACATTTTATTATGTTCAGTCATTACTCATTTATATTTTACTATTGTAGTAATTCTTGCATGCTTTAATGAAAAAGTAACTAAGTAGTTACTTTTGTTGGTAATTAGTTACTTTTATGATCTTGTAACTCAGTTAGTAACTGAGTTACTTTTTTGACAAAGTAATCAGTAACTATAACTAATTACTTTTTTAAAGTAACGTTCCCAACACTGGATATATCTGCAACCCTGATGTAGCTTTCCACATTTAACAGTCTACTCTGGATTGCACATTGCCAGATGCATCTTGCAAAAAAAAAAAAAAAAAGCTCCACAGTCCAATTAATTCCCTCTTTTCAGCTAAGGAAACTAAAACATATGGAGCGTGCGCCACAATCCAAAGGTTCTGTAACGAAATCTTTCAGCGCTGCAGGAGGAAATCATAACAAATCTTTGAACGTTATTAACGAGGCGCGTAACAGGGGAAGCACCACGGCCCCAATGCAGATGAATGCAAAGGCGACATCTTTGTTCTGCAGGCCAACCGAGGAAGAAGGCTAATGCGATCTAGCATGAGAGGACAGGCAGCTGCTGCAGAGGGTCGGAAGTAACTTCACAACCCTGCATGTCTGCTCTGTTTGCATACAGGTGTGATTTCCTCTGAAGACGTTAGTTGTAACTCACTGGTTGAGAAAAGCAAAAAGGTATCTCATGACGATGATGACGGTCCGAGGAAGGGTCACGACGATCTGCTGGATGTGATGAGCTCTCTCAGCTCCTGATTCCAGCTCTGAAGCACAGATTTAAGATGACAACAGGCAGCATCACAGAAAATGATTGTAAACATTCAGACTTCTTCTTTTTTTTTTTTAGCAGGAGACACATCGATGCAGAGAGAGGAACGATGAGGCCTCTCTGATAGACATCAGACCCAAACTCGGCTGTCTAGATTACTTCCACATGCTGCACTGCACGACCTTTCTGTTCTCAGTACAGCTGAGCTTCTACAAAAGGTCTGAGGTGAGTTTTATTCCCCTTCTCCCTGTCTAGTCCACTCACTAGCCTTTTGAGTGTTTTTGTTTGTTTTACTCACTGATGGTAGCGATGAAGTCCAGGAAACGCTCCTTTGGGAAAAGCGGGTTTTCCAGTCCTCTGAAGTACAGCTTCAGCACTCCTGCTACTGAGTTAATATCCTGCTCATTCTGGTCGTCGATCAACGGATCTTCACCTACTTAGGGAGAATACAGACGAGCATAAAAAAAGCTAGATCTTTAGTGGAAGTGTTATGCTAAGTGTACTGGAAGGACTCGCCTCTCTCAAACGAGTTTTTGATATCGTTGACCTCCACCTGTGATCCTGGAACCCGGAATATTCCCTGTTGTTGCAGCCCTGCGAGAAATTCAAACCAGATTTTAGATTCGGAGCCACATGAGCTGCCGCTGTCTCCAAAACCACATTACCAGCTTCATGAGACGATTGGAAACATATAACAGAGGGCAGGAAATGTAATCTGGTCATAAAGAGAGATGCGTTGTGTTTTTTTTTTTCCAGGAGAGGGCCTCACAGCGGGCCCGCAGCATATGGTTCCAGTTAGAGGGATCTAATCAGTTTTCTGTAGCTTCATTAGCTCCAGATCCAGAGCAAAAGGCCTGCAGGCTGAAAGCCGAGGACAAATGAGAAGGTAGACGGGGAGGAACTGGAGAGATGTGGTTGGGGGGGGGGGGGGGGGGTGTCAGATCAGCGATAGACACAAGAGAAGGAGAAGGTCTCTGTACCCACAGCTTGTTGCTTAAACTTCACTTCACAGATTCACCTTGTGTCAAAGAAAACAGCTCCATGTGGGACTCACCATACAGGTTGATGTATCTGATGCAGCTTTCAACAACAAGAGGAATCGGTTGACCTGAATCCTGAATGAAAATCGCATGAAAACACATGAAAATTAGCTCAAACGAATGCAACGCTATGCCTAGTAATGTTTGATGCTATTACAAGACAACTCAAAACTTTTTAGGTGGTGGAGATGGATAAAGTGCAGCACAGCAGTGGGACAGTTTATTAGTGAAATGTTAGTGGCGCAAGCATGCACTAGCAGCAGTGATACCTGGATACGAGTGCGGGCGTTCCTTCTTCCTCTGGGACAGAAAGCAGTAAAGCACAGAAGCACAGAGTTAGAACGGGGCTCAAATGACAAACCACTGGTTAGAGGACAGGGTGCTGATGAGAGGAAGGATCAGGGACAGCTGCTGTCTCCTCCTGCCTCAGTCATCCTCACAGCGACTGGAGTTAGGAGAGCAAAGATGAGAAAACATTCCAGGGGATTAAAAAGCTCCCAGACTGGGTGTCATCAGCAGAGTTATTGAAGCAATAAGTGTCAGGATCTCGAGGGGAGGAGCAGAAGATTAAAGTGAGGAAGAGGAGGTCCTCCCTGGAGTTCAGTCAGCCACCGCCACTACCTGGATGAAGGTCTCCATGTCGCCGTTAAACAGCTTATGGTTAATCATGGAGCATGGCCTAGGCTTCTTCATTTTCTGTGGTTTGGGGGGGAGGGTGGGGGGCCTGGCACTGATGGGACAAGAGGAACAAAAATGCCAAAATCTGTCAACCGAATGTAAATGAAACGGAAAACAGAAAGACAGTAAAAAAAAAAAGTCCTGATGGGTCAGGACCAACACGTCTTAAAGACGAGTCAGATCTTTTGACTAACTTAACGAGCTAACCATTTGTCTAAATCTAATAAAAAGAATAAATAAGCTGATTTTGCAAATGTCACTTTATAACTCCTTCCACATATGTTGCTTTTTTTACAATTAACAGATTCTCTGGGGAAAACATACTGACTGGAAGTGCTACAGTTCGCTAGCTTTGCTGCTAACGTCTGCAGAAAACAGCAATAGAAACTCGCAATGAAAAATGTACTGCAGGTTTAGAAAATAGGTGTTGCCTCAGCCACTAAGAACGTTTTAAATTAAAGATGCGGGAAGTAAAAATGACACCCTGCGTTCAAATTTGGGTACTGCAGTTCACGTATCAAAACAAACGAGTCCCCTGAGTAATTGTTGCCAGCTACGGCTCTGCGTCTGCGCCAGAATATTCTAGATGATAAGCAGAGACGAGTCACACACAGTCAGAAGATAAGTGGAGACATATATTTCACTTTAATATGGAGTTGTTAGAAATTGGAAAAAAGTAGCTTGATATATTTTTAGGACAGACTTTTTCTCTAACTCACCGTTAGCATTGTTAGCGTAACATTAGCTCAACGTTAGCCACTAGCCTTCTTTACCTGATATAAGAGTAAAACAAAAAGATGCAGTGGCTTCTTAGGGGTACAAGAAATAACTTCTAGCTCATGTTCTTTATTTAGCTTTTTAGTAGATCTTTTGGGTCTAAACACTGGAGACAAGTGGAATAAACAGATGTTTGTGGCACTAAAGCAGGGATTAGAAACTGTTCACTTCTCAAACAGCATCTTACCTTGTTGTTCCACATTCAGCTCTCTCCCCTGAGGAAAAGAAACACAAACACACACACACACACACACACACACACACACACACACACACACACACACACACACACACACACACACACACACACACACACACACACACACAGGGCCTGTTATATTCTTGTGTCTTTATAGCACACATTATGCAGACTGTGGTCGCTGTTCTGTCTCATTAAAGGACTTCCTGATGGACAACATCACTGCTGAGGGAGACATGAATAGAGCTGTGCTAACGCCGTTCATCTGACAAAACCACCGAGTAGTCGTTGGGCCTCAGGGGACACAGAGGTCCCCTGAAGGGTCCCAGACCTCCTCTCAGGGCAAAGAAACAGGGGGGTGGCAGCTGCACTGTGTGGTTGGGAGAGGGAGGGGGCCATCAGATGTGACAGCGAACAATGTCAGTGCTGCTTCACTGAGCCTTTTGTTGAGGCTCTCCCACACATGCACGTATTACATATACCATACCATACCAATTTATTTATAAAGCACCATTTCAAAATAGCATGGCAGCTAACCAAAGTGCTGTACATAAAAGAGCCAAATGCTTGAACAAATCAACAAAACACAATGAAAGCACGAGAATCAGGTAAGATACATAAAAACAGCATAAATAATCAAGGATAAAAACAATACACGTAGACTCTGAAGTTTGACCAGTTTTTATAAAAAGGGAAGATATTCTAGAATTAAACATCCTGGTCCTGGTCAGGGCACAGCTTTAAGAAGAAGTCTCCTTAAAGGACTGACTGCTTGGGGAGAGGGCCAACAGAGAACCCCTCATTATTTTTATTGCATCAAGGAAAACGGGTGACTGCAAACCTATTTCCCCACACATCATGCTAGCAGGTGAGACCATGCCTCTGATGCGTTCAAGTGAAGGAAAAACAATGTGTTTTCCCATACATCATTCAACTTGATTTGACCTACCTCTAAATAATAGTCATGTTCAAGCACATGGAATAAAAGCCACTCATGAATTTCTTCTAATTTCTCTAAACACTCTTTCTGTAAATATAAAAATATCATCTGCATCAAATAGGCAAAAATCTGTGCACCATCTTTTCTGATGTCATGCTCTGATGTTCTGTGTTTATTAAAATTGCTCAGTGAGACGTAAACGCCATGTGGCCCTCATCTCGTCTCTGTGTCACGCCGCCCACGCACACACACAAACACGCTAGACCTGAGCGCGAGGCGGCGAGCTAATGAGCACGACTCAACCGTGATTGATCATCTGAATAATTAAACACGCGTGGTACCTGGAGGCACCGTGTGCCACGCTCCGTTGCGGACGCTTGACCACATTGCAGTGCCAGTGTTTGCAACATGATTGTTTCTCGTCTTGGTAACAAGTCTTGAGAATAAAATAAACAATTAAGACATGAATTAATTCTGGGACTGGAAGGTGACGGGTTGAAAGCCTCAGCTGGCTCGTACGAGGACGTGAACCTCTGACACTGGAGCAGCTGCAGAAATGAGCCCTGGCTTGGTCAAGATGATTGATTGAGAATAAACTGTTCATCATGGCTGAGGTGACAAGGAAACACCCAGGGGAATAGAGAGAGCCAAGGATACCCTCCCATAAAGACACTAACCAGATAATATGTGAGCCAGTGCACACAAACACAAGAAAATGAAAAGGGATATTTCATGTTTCCCTTGTGTCTTGAAAATGGTCCCATCTCTTTGTAGACTTCAGATTTTATTGTTCCTGCTAAACCATGACAGGATGGGCATATAGTAAAATAATTCACGAACCACTGGACCGAATTGAATCTAACTTCATCTATAATCTTTAGGGTGTGTCCAGGTTCAAGGACAGCACCCCGTCCTACTAGGTCACCTTCCTCACCACAAAGACCAAAACGTGAGTGGCCGTGAATCAGGATGGTCTAGCCTTCATATTTAGTCCCGCCCTTATCTCAGCATAGGTTATGTTGCCTAGCAACCATGGTGCTGCTAAACAAAAGGAACACAGGACCTGCCATATGAGCATTTTTCTCATCTAAAAAAATCTGCTAATGAACAAAGGCTAGCAACACAACCACTTTAGGCTGTTTGTTTTTTTTAACCACCAGAAATTAAAGCAGATATTAAAGGTGTGGGAAACTCATTTTATCAATACATTTGCAGTGGTCTCTGGTAGGAATGAATGCCTTGCAAGCTGTACTCGGGGCTAAAAAGGCCCAGAAACACCTGCAACAGCACGGACAAATCTGCTACATCAGAGGAGAGCTTGACACGGGAGGATTTTGAGACTTATTTCCTGATATTTGCTCTGCGACACGGATGTTTAATCTCCAGAAATAACACAAGCCTGAAGGAGCTCCTGCTGTGTGGTTGAGTTGTTAATGCTAACGGCTAGCTTCTGCTAGCGGACACTGCTGATTTTAGACTCTAAACTAGGGCTGCACGATAATGGAAAAACCTGTGATGTTCGATAACGGTGATTAATACTGCGATGACGATATTACTGGCGATAAATAAAAACTTAACTCAGGAACAAAAATGATCAAAAACAAAGAAATAAAAAAATTGTAAAAATGAGAAAAGCAAAAGATGTGAGGAAAGGGAAAAATAAAATGAAGAAGAAAAGGCGATCAGTGGATCCCGAGAAAAGCAGAATCAGCAAAAAGAGCAGAACAAAGCTAACTCAGGTGTTTGCTAACCATCAAAATGAAGTGCTGCCCTACTCTAAACCAACAACAACCTTCCCCGTTGCGAGCCAGTATGGGTGAGTCCAAGCGACCATTTGACATAGATCTGTCAGACCTTTCACATCCTAGAGTTTTACCATCTATTTTCTACCAGAAGCTAATGCAGGAGATAGGTGTAGGAGACTATTTGAATTTCATACAGGGGAACCTGAGTCCTTTCTTATTTTTATGACAATACTGTTAGGCTATTACTTTGTTATGACCAGGGCTGGGCCTTGAACAGCCATTGGGGGAGGTATTGCTGCAGTGAGGTGCACCAAAATAACAGAGCAGTCCTGTTTGTGAGATGCATGGGTGAGGTTACAGGGGTGTGTGTGTGTGTGTGTGTGTGTGTGTGGGGGGGGGGGGTTGCCCAGTGAAAATAATGCCCCAGGGTCGGCCCTGGTTATAACGATATTATTATTACTTCTCTATTCCTATTATTAGGTGACATTTCACCTACTGACAAGCTGTGTGACCACTGGCAACAATAGTTGCCAGTCATAAATATGCCATTTTCTTCCCAAAAACAGTATATAATTGAAAAAAAAATTATATAACATGATTCAGAGGGACTTAACTGATAAAATGATATGCATTACGACTATGAAAAAAATTTGGGCACAAATGGGTTAAATATACTAGCATTTAAAACTAATTCTCCCACGCTTTGTCTGCGATTCTGACAAAAACACATTCAGCCCACCACCATATACTGGGATAACCCTTGCCAGTGATGATACTCCAAAACTGTCCTTGAAATTCTGCGAAAACGAGGGCACATTAAGAGTATCATTTGAATTTGGACAGGCTTGTGGCTTTGGTCCGACATTATTAACCTTAAAATGGGTTCTCTGAGGGAAGCAGCTCTGAGTTTGGACACTGACTTACTGTCAACTACATTCAAGATGGCCACTGACATTAGCTGCCCCAAGAAAGCCTAAAAAATACCTACAACTAGGTCAGTTTTACAAACAGAGCTACAGTTTCACACGTTCTTCCAGCACTAGCAGGTTTGAAATACTGGATGAAGTTGAGAGGTTTTAGTAAGCTTTCACCAAATGGCTACAAATCCATCATCTCTCAGCATCAAACGATATTGGTTCTAAAATGTGAGTCCATCAGGGAATGCTAGGCTACACTAAACACTAAACAAAAGTGGTTTTAAAGAATTAAGATGTAGTGGGTCTTGTTATTACAGGACAACAAGCTAACCCTTGTAAATACCCCGTAGCTAAAATAAAACTCTGTACCTTCTCCCAGCGTCTGCTTCAGCAGGTCATGCTTCGCCTGGAGTTTTATGATGAGGTTACTCCCATTCAGATACTCTTTGAATTTCTACAAGGAGAGAAAAACCAGGGATGGGCGAGCATAAAGTTAGAATAAAAGCATTTGAGACTACAAAGGTGAGAGTAGATCTGAACAGCTGGACTGACGGACACAAACTCACAGAGAAGTAGAAGGTTTCCGTCTCCTGCTGGTTTGCCCTCCTCTTGGCGACATTGAGCTTGCTCATGTACGACTCTGAGGCCACGGACTTGATGGACTCGGTGGAGCGGCTGTGCTGAAAGGCGTCCGACACATCGAAGTCCTCCACAGTCAGCATATCCTGCAAGGTTTGCATGGTGGCATCCAGGGTCTTCCTCACCTGGATGGAGACAAATGGTCCTGATCTGCGTTTCCTCTAGACTCAGAGAAACTGCTGACACTAATAGAGGCTGGATTTACCTTTTCTCAAAACAACCTTAAAGAGCAAATTGCAGGTTAGAGCCTCCTTTGAACAAATGTTTAGAGAAACATAACAGGAAGTCATTCTAAATAAAAATGTACACATATAGGCTTTAGGCTTTAGGAATCATCTTTGTGAGAAAAACGTTTTTTTTTATCTGCCAAACAGACGTGACGCAGGCAGAGGCAGTCCTGTTAGCTTGATACAGAGAAAAATATGGATTCGAATGGCGGCTCTGACACAGAGGAAACTTTAAATGTTTATAATTATGGCGGATCACAACCATACAGTTATGAGCCTGCTGCACGTGCCAGAGAGCAGAGACAAGCCAGAGAGACAACGGAGGGAGATTAAGCTGCAGAGTCAGGAGGTTCAGTGCAGCGAGCAGGTGTCTCGGTGAGGGAACGATGCTAGCTAGCTAGCTAGCTCAAACTTGTGTGCTGACATCACAATATTGTACAGATTACTGTCATGCGCCAGACAATTAGAAAATAGTATTGGTCATATTGATTCTTGACAATAATAAACTATAATGAGCATTTGTCAGCTGTTTCATACTCGTTAACATGCATTCACGTAGCGTAGCTTAGCGCCTTAGAGAGAGGGAGAGACGCCTGTCATCCTATTGAGGGCAGGTGGTTCGGACCTGGGTCCGACCCAGAAACCAGCTTCCCCGGCCCGCTAGGGATTGTTAAAAGCTCCTGGAGCTCAGCGCGGACCTCCCTGACCTGGCTCCGACACTGATCTGGGCTATAGGAGCCCACAGGTATTAATCAAAACTCCATAACGGGGCTCTGGAGGATGGGAGGCGTGTTGAACTCCCATCACATCACTGGGATTGTAATCCTCCGGCGCACCAGAAACGACGTGTTTTCAGCTGGCCAAAACGCACCAGGATGGGAAGATGGTGCCGTTCATTCTCTTATTGGAAACGTGGACTTGATGTCCGGACCCGCTGGAGTTTGTACAGCCTCCGTAAACAACAGTTTATCATTTTATAGAAAAATTAGAATAATCCAAAACTAGTGAACTCGCACATTGTACTCGTTAACACGACCTCTCTACCCAAAAACCACCTACTGGCCACACTGAGCTTCAGGCAGGACTAGCTTATAACTCCCCTCGCTGCGTCAGAGGTTAAAATAAATAAATAAATAAATAAAGCATTTTTAGACGCTTTGCTCAAAAAAGCCACTTTTTACTTAAAATAAGGGACCGTTATGTATTGAAAAACAAAATACCCACCATAAGCATTTCAAATATTTTGGATAGCATTTTATATGAAATTAAAAATAAATTACCTGCAATTTGCTCTTTAACTTTGGACAATGGATGAGAGCAGTCTGCAGTTCTGCAGCTGACAGAACAACAAAAGGCTTGCAAAGACAAACTGTGTATAATTCTGATTAATAAAAGTCATTCCCAGAAATAGCAAGGCTGCTCCTCCTGAGGCGAGGAGGAGACGGAGCCTCTACCTCCTCATCTCTGTCTCTCTTATTCATAACAACTTTCTCACATATTAAACAGAACAAGAGTCTTCAGTGCTTTATTCTCCTGCAGACTAATGGAGGCTGGAAAGTAATTGGAGTGAGAGCAGATGGTGATGTAGTCCTACTTTTACCCCTTGATAATGTGATGGCTCTGGGGAACATAGCAGATTATTCTTTACTTTAATTGGGGAGAAAGACACAAATCATAACCTCTAACCTCCTCATTCTCAATCTTCAGTGTAGCTAATCGAGACTGGAGCTGGTGGTAGCGCATCAGGAGCTCAGTCTGGACCGGCTGCTGGGCGCTGACCTGGCAAACCTGAGGAGGAAAGAGAGCAAAACAAACAAACGACAGACACAGCTGCTTTATTTTATGCCTTCAACAGTAAGAAAAAGAGGTGACTTTCCAGCAGGCCTAACCTCATCCCCCATGTGCGGCAGGTACTCAAAGCGCATCGGAGGACAGAACACCTGGTTATGCATATCCATGATCTTGTGCTTGTCACTGCGCGAGTCCAGGTTGTCCACTGCATTCTCAATGATATCCAGGCCCTCGTGGCGTGACGTCTCCAGGTTGTACTCTGCAGATAAGTAGGTCCTGAAGGTGCGAGCCAAGCTGGCGTGGTAGCCCAGGTCACAGCACTTTGGAGAAGAGCAGATACGTGTGTTTCACCTTCTGATTTACAGCTTTTATGAATCCACTGGTTGACAGCAGCAAACCTTTTTTTTTTATTTCCAATTAGGGATGTAAGAAAATATCGATATGGCAATATATAGTGATATTTTTTCCAGCAATATTATATCGATGTTCAAAAAAACGTGTTTTCTTTTCGTTTTGTGCAATTCAATTGCCACCCGCTAGTTGGCAGCAGTGTGCAACGGGTTTTGTTTCCACCATTGAAATGTAAATCCCTCCATCATGGGTCAGATACCTCATGTTAAACATGTTACATATCAGTTTGGACTGTTCATTGAGCATTCTTACAATAAATTCAGTAAAAAAAAAATTGCTTGTAACGTCTGACTGGATGTATTGCAATATATCGTGATATATCGTATCGTCTCCCCTGTAACGTGATATGTATCGTATCGCCAGAATTTCAACAATACACATCCCTGTTTCTAATTATCTAAAGGTATGGAAAACTTGTTTAATCAGTACATTTGCAGTGGTCTCTGGTAGGAATGAATGCCTTGCAAGCCGTACTCAGGGCAAAAAATAGCCTAGAAACGCCTGCATCAGCACAGACAAGTGTGCTACATCAGAGGAGAGCTTAACACGACGGGATTTGGTGTCTTATTTCCTGATATTTGGACATCTCGATTCTGAATGGATAACAACAACACAACTCTACCATTGACTCCATTTGCTTTGCAACGTTGATGTTTAATCTCCACAAATATCACAAGCCTGAAGGATTTCTGCTTTGTGGTGGCTAATGCTAAGCTAATGCTAATGTTTAGCTTCTGCTAGCCGAAACGTTTTCTGTTGATAATGGATGCAAAACCAACAACAGCCTACGTCAGCAAGTACGGGTGGCTGCTTGACGTAGCTCTGTCAGGCCTTTCTAAGTTTCACCGTCTATAGGTGTAGGAGACTGTTTTCAAGTTCAGCCTACAAGAAAAACTCAGTTATAATCAGAAATATGAATTAAAAATGTTTTTTCAGTGCTCCACACCTTTCAAATTTTACATTTTTATTTAAAAAATAAATACTAACTTGTTACACTTTCAGGTTGCATGGTCTGGGAAAATAAAATTCAAACAACCATGGATTAGATGGGTTTGTACCAGAAAACAATTCAAAACATAAAAGTGCATCAGGTATAGATAAAAAAAAACAGATAAAAAAAACAGGAACAACTTCCTGAAACAGCATCCCAGTGTTTAGAGCCTGATTCACCGTGGTGCGTTCACAGACCGGGGGGATTTTTCTGTGCTGGATCTGCTAATTACCAGTCAAACCAGTCAATGTTTCCTTTATCGTACACTTCATGATGGGAGGATAAAACTGCTGCAGCTTCAGAGTCTTTAATTGATTTTTCAATTAGAAAAATTAGAATCAATTCAACAAGGAATAATAAAAAAGTTAGTATAGGTCATTTAGAGGGTTTGTTTTAAGTCTTCAAGAACCCTTTGAGCATCTTTAGGCCCTTTTAATTGACTGAATACCTGATTATGTTCTTCACATTAAAAATATGAGGCAGAGTTCATAAAATTACAGGATTTGGCAGAGTACAGCAGGAGAGGTAATTACAGAGCCTTATCACACAGCGCTGCATGAAGTAAGCTAATTAGGCGGAGGGCAGCACTGAGGAGGTTTAGAGGGAGCTGGGGGCAGCTGACAGCTCCGTAAATCACTAAATAAACGCTCTTTAAAACTCTTTAACTCAGGAAGTCGGCTCTTAGTGCACAAGCCTCGTTGCACCGCTCAGTCAAACTCAGATCAGCAGAACCAGGTCTGAGGTGAGTCAGTTCAATGCTTTCAGACACATAAACAGAGCAGGAACACATCTAGCAGCACCGGAGGAGCAGAAGAGTTTTAGTAACGCTGCTGGAGTCTCTTATTTTGATTTCTTCACACTAATATGCAAATTCATTCATATTTAAACTTTTAGGAGAACCTCTGACTCCTCTATGTGGCTGACAGAACAGCAAGGATTCATTTCCTGCACCACAGAAGGATTTGGGATGACTTGGATCATTAAGTGATTCCAGATATGCAAGAGCTGCTCTGCAAAGAGAAGGTTTTCTGAGGGTCCACCGGACATCTTCACCCTCCGATATGTTTAGTCACGACTCGTGTTCGCAAGATTATTAAAATGTCATTAAAATCGTGTCTAGGTATGTTTTTTTTCATAAATTACCAAAAATTAATGCATCAAAGATGCAGCGCTTTACAGCATAAAACAAATATTAGATCAAAAATATTATTCTATGGGAAAAACATGAATAAAAATGATTATTTCAGCAAAAACGGAAGAAAAAAGATTGAAAGAGGATTTTCTTTGTGTGTGTTTAAAGTGGAACCTGAGAGAAAATACACTGGAAAAAATATTATTTAAATGTATGTTTATTTATTTGGCAGATGCTTTTATGCAAACCGACATACAACTGTTAACCTACAGGGCATGTTGTGATCTGTGGGGAAAACCGGAGTACCCAGAGGAAACCCACGCATGCATGGGGAGAACATGCAACTCCATGCAGAAAGACTGCATATTTAATTATAAAAGAGAATTAAAAATATTAAACATTCAAAAGTATTTAAAATTGGTACTGTTAAGAACCGGTATCGATTCCTAGGTACCGGGAATTAGTACCGAATCGATTCAAATGTCAAAGGTACCCATCCCTAGTTGCTTTAAGAGTTCGTTTTAAAATACTGATGTTGGCGTACAACTCGTTGAATGTACTAGCACCTTCCTATCTAGCGGACATGCTTGTGTCATATGAGCCGACTCGCCGGTTGAGGTCGGCTGACCAGCAGCAGTTGGTGGTTCCAAGAACAAGGCTGAAGCTGAGAGGAGATAGGTCCTATTCCGCTGCCGCGCCTGGGCTTTGGAGCCAGCTTCCAGGCAATATTAGACAGGCATCTTCTCTGGTCGTTTTTAAGTCGCTCCTCAAGACTCACTATTATTCACGGGCTTTTAACACGGACTGATTATTCTTATCCACTTCCGTCTTTAAGCAGTGTTGTGTTTTATTTCTTTTACAATGTTTTTGTATGTTTTAATATATTGTCCATGTTTTTTTACTGTTTTTAATTATGTCGGTATGTTTTTATCTGTGTGTGAAGCACGTTGGTCGACAGTGTTGTGGATAAAGAGAAACAGTTTTCCTTTATTTTAAATCAGAGGAGTCCTGATGTTGATGTATCAGGTGATTATTTTGGCTTTACTACAGCTAAAAGAAACGTATGTTTGCAGAGAAATTTTTAAAAACCAGATAAACAAACACAAATAAATGGGGAGGTCAGCTGAGAAAATGTGTAATGCTGATGAAATCATCCCTAACAACTGCTTCTCTTTGATGAAGTAGGGAGCTGTAACACACGTTCTTGTCAACAGTAACGAGGTTCTGTTATGCAGCTAATGAAACGGTGCTAACTGCTTCTACCGAGAGCGACCGAGCAGCTGAAAAACCAACCGGGAGCTGGCTGCGAGGGAACCAGAGCAGATGGTGAGGAAAGTGATGGAGCTGCAGAGTTAAATCAACACCGGCGGTCCCAGCTGAGACACAAACAAACACATGTTCCTCACGCATACTTACATCTATCATATCAGAGACATCATGGATGTAATACTTTGCCACCACCGCGTTGGTTGCTGCCAGGTTCAGAAGATAATCATTTCGGGCTTTTGTGCATTTCAGCTTATTCTCTGAATACTTGGCTTGTCTCTGAGGGAGGAGAGAAGAGACAGAGCAGATGAAGGAGAAAAACATCCAAGGGAGTTTCCACCTGTGCTCGTCGCTGCAGAGTCTGAATCATGATGGATAAATAAAAACATACAGTTAATAATCCTCCTCATCAGCACAAAACACTTTATACATGATGGACTTCAAGGGTGATGTTTGGGAACATTCTTATTCAAAGCTGCAGACAGCTGAATATTAGTCTTATTTGACTTTAAACATTAGGAATAAAAGAATATTATTTACTACGTTAAGCCTGACTACACTTGTAACTTATTAGGGTCAGAGAAGACAAAAAGTTAGTTTTCTAGTTTAAATATAAAAGTCTAAACTTACTAAAAGACAAAAGATTCAAGAAAATTGGTCAAAATAGTATTTGGAGTAAACGATAATTGTACAGCCAAGAATATAGTCTAAACATTGAGAAAAAATTAAGATATCAAGAAAAAAGTCGACATGCAAAAGAACATCAGGAGGAAAGTGATGAAAGTCCAACATCAGGAATAACGCTGAAATGTCAAGAAAATGGTTTTTTTTTCCCAGAATAAAATAAAACATGTCAAAATAACATTTCCAGAAAAATTGTTGAAATATTGAGATTAAAGTTGTTATTTTAGGATAAAAAGGAACAACCCCAAAATTAACCAGCACTGGAGAAAACCTACAATACCCACATTTACACGTGTAAATAACCTATGACCTATGACCTTCCACCTGGGGTCACACCCGACCTGTAAATACCTTCTCAGATTTACTCAGATTGTGTTCATGTGCACCATAGAGCTTTCCTAAACTGAAAGAAATAATAGTTCATCCAAATTTCAACAACTGTCTTTAATTGGTAACAAGGTTTTGAAATAAATGTATCCAAGTTATTTGATTCAGCTGTAAAATTTGTTTCAACACACATAATAAATTTACGCAATACAAATACTTGAAGCCATTTATTTAAGTTGGATCAACGAACCTCTTTGTTTCCCCCCAACAATCTAAAATAGTTACAAACCGAAAACACCTGAGTGGCCCTGATAAGTCACTACTGTTAAATAAAAGCAGATATAATCAGTGGTGTTCAAAGAGATTTCATTTAGTGCTTTTACAAAAATATCCTCAATCACTCCAGGAACAACTCTGGAAAACCTAGAGGCACCCGTTCATGATTGCTGTACTTCCTTAAAGGTGGAGTGTCCATTTCTGGTTTCATAAAGCAATAACACAAAAGAAGGATGGAGAAGTGTGTGACTGATTTTAGTCCTTCCTATTCATTCACATTCCTTCCAGGCGGAGTGATGAGACAAGAGTTCAGAAACAGCAGCAGGAAAGACAAATATTCATCACTACGTTGTTATAAATAGTATGCAGCTACTGATGCCGGCGAAGTTAGCATCCAAAACACGAAGGAAACTAGTCTTTTGATTTACTGCACCAATGAGATAAAAAGGGGGTTTCTTCATCTGCATGAAGAAATTCTGAAGTAAGCTCAGAAAATGATGCGTGGTAGCGTCTGAAGTAGAGAATGACTCCCCCTTCCCATCCTTTCCAAATGAACCCATACCTCATCAACACTTAGCCTTGCCGAGAAGCTCATCAAAGCTTCCTCTGAGCCCAGCTGAGCCGACGGTGAAGGATTTGGGGTACCCAAACCCCACTCTTGTTGTCTTAAGCATTCGTACCTTCTCTTTCATCTTCTCTATTTTTCGGACAGAGCTGCGCCGTGGTTGGCGGTCTTCGTGGCGGAGCAGGTTGACGTTGAGATCTCCGGACTTGCTGAACTGCTTCTCCTCCTGCTTCTCAGCATCTTTCAGCTTGCTCTCTGCACTGATGCTCTCAGTGTGATACATGTGGTATGTTTTCATCACCTGGGAGAAGAGACACATTTGGTGTTTAACGTAAAATCCCACGTGTATAAGTGATCACATTTGGAACGCACCATGTTTATGTAATCACACGACAAGTGACAGGTTAAAGCAAATGATGATTATCAGCAGAAAATGAAGGGATGCTATCCCCCAAAGACAACGAGCATAAAAATCAGACCTGTTCTGGTTAGACGAAAATCTGAATCACATCCTAAAACCAGATAAAACTGGTGTTGCCAATAAGCTCTGAAAGAGTTGTATCCAAAATAAAATGAAATCATACATGATCTCGTCTTGATTGTAATGCGGTGTGGAAGAGTACAGTAGGATACCATGTGAGAAAGATCAACAAATGTAGGTTTTTCTATGAAAGCTAATCCAAAAAGGGGTCCTAGAACAACTGTTTCCGCTATTTAAAACTGCTCTTTAGACTGAATATAGAATAGGACATCTTGTTGGGGCTCAATATGGCTCAGCAGCTCATATGGGGGGGAGGGGGGCAAATTTACATTTCATTTAATAATATGATTTTTGAGACTCTTTGAGACTTAAAGAGCAAGTCACCCCCTACCAGAGTCTAACTCCACTCCCACTTCATGTTTGAAAAATGCAACAAATGCTGTTGCCTGGCAGACCGAGAGGGCGGAGCCGCTAACAAATACACACACACAGGCTCACAACAACATTGTGACATCATAATGTACCAGTTTACATCATCGCATACCTCTTAGCCAATAGCGGTGGCAGATTTAAATTCAAATACAGTGCAGAGTTTTTACCTGACAACGGCACAACACTGACAGTTTTAGGCAGAATATTTAAATTTTAACTAAGATGCACTGAAGTGCCAAATTATTGACTACACGTGTCTGCAGCACGATTAGACACTCGTTTATTTAGTTTATCAGCAAAAAAAAAGTTTATTTGGGGGTGACTTGCTCTTTAAAAACCTATTCTGTCAGTGTTCAGCAGCCTCACCTATGTCGGTAAGCCCCAGGGTAGCTGTGGCTATATTGTGGTTTATCACCGCCAGAGTGTGACTGTGTGTGTGAGTGTGCGTGTGTGTGTGTGTGTGTGTGTGTGTGTGTGTGTGTTTGCGCGTGCGTGTGCTTCAATAGATGACTGTGTTGTACAGTACCTTGGGGGGGGTTGTAGGACCCTAGAAAGCGCTACATATCAAACAAAGACCATTTACCATATGTAGAAAAACATTACTGCAATTGTGGCTACGGTGAATTGTTTACAGCAGATGCATCTTTGTGTTCTTGCTTAGTTGTTGATTAAATATCCACCAGCATCGTTATTGTTCAGTTAATTATGATAGGATACAATGCCACTGAGACCATGGTCTTGAGTCGGAAAAGGGAGCGCCTTCTCCGGGTCAGGGATGAGGTCCTGCTCCTGTGGAGGAGTTTAAGTATCTCAGGGTCTTGTTCACGAGTGAGGGAAAGCTGGAGCGTGAGATTGACAGGTGGATTGGTGTTGCGTCTGCAGTGATGCGGGCGTTGTACCGGTCTGTCGTGGTGAAGAGATTTACCGGTCGATCTACGTTCCTACCCTCACTGATGGTCACAAGCTTTGGGTAGTGACTGAAAGAATGAGATCAGGGATACAAGCGACTGAAATGAGTTTTCTCCACAGGGTGGCTGGTCTCTCCGTTAGAGATAGGGTGGGAAGCTCGGTCATCCAGGAGGGGTTCAGAGTAGACCCGCTGCTCCTCCACATCGAGAGGAGACAGTTGAGGTGGATCTGATTAAGATGCCTCCTAAACGTCTCCCTGGTGAGCTTTCCTGGGCACGTCCAACTGGGAGGAGACCTAAAGGAAGAACCAGGACAAGCTGGAGGGACTATGTCTTTCGGCTGGCCTGGGAACGCTTTGGCTTTCCCCAAGAGGAGCCGGCCCAAGCGGCTGGGGAGAGGGAAGTCTGGACCTCTCTGCTTAGGCTGCTGTATATGATACCGGCAGAAAGCTAGAGGGCGATTTTTTTCAGTTTTGGCTCCAAAACTCCCAGACTGGTTGTTTCACTTCATTAATGTGTGTCAGTCACTGATGAAGACTCACTTTTATTTTATAGCATTTACTCAGGAGTGATCCATTTGCTCTCTGGTTATATCTACTAGTGGTCTTTAATGTATTATGTTGCAATGGTTTGGATAAAGTGACATGACAGGATACGACGTCTTTGACACACATGATACACCTGATTTTTCCCTTTCAGGTTGGGGTTAAAGTCTTCATCTAGCTTGCTATCCCTTCACAAAAGATCTGAAAGAACAGACTATTACAGCTGATTTACAAACACTAAGACACAAGAGTTTTTAATATGTTTTAGACTGAACCCTGAGAAAAAGAAAAACTTGTAGTATTAGTACTTTTCCCCCCAGAAGTCAGATAAACGAGCTTTGACCAGTGCAGTGGTGCGACTGAGTCCTCCCGATCCCCTTCATGAAGAGGGACCAACAATTAAAAACATCACTTCTCATTCCAACGTCTGGTTGGATCTTAGCCTTTTATGGCTGCCTGGGTGACCGCTTTGAGGTGTCAGTTCACCAGAAACACAGATGCCACAGCGCGTGAATTTAAGGGGCCCAGGGATGTTTACGGTTCAGTCTCAGCTGTCACATCTCCAGTTTCTCTCTGGCTCATTTTCAGCTCCATGTTCTCCATAATTATTATGTCTCTTTGATCTCTACTTGGACACTCAAGGCCGTGCCCCTCTTCCTTAGAAATACAGAGATAAAAATGCTCCATTAGACATCAAGTACCTTCAGTCTGTCTTGAATCTTCCCAGATGCCTTCCGAGAGCATCTCCTCATGGACACCCGTTTTAAGTCCCGTAAAGGCAAATCCAGATGTGAGCTGTATGTAAACATCTCATGCGTGTGTGTGTGTGTGTGTGTGTGTGTGTGTGTGTGTGTGTGTGTGTGTGTGTGTGTGTGTGTGTGTGTGTGTGTGTGTGTGTGTGTGTGTGTGTGTGGGTGTGTGTCATTTTCTATGAACACCTCAGGATGTTTAACGAAAACACAAACAGTCTTTTATTTGTTTCCTGTGGTCCAACAGGTGCTGCTCATTTGGCACACTAGTAGAACAGCAGGGTTCCTTCTATGTCTAAGATGTGCATCAAAATTAGCAGCTGGATCACTCACATCTGTAATCTCCTAACCTCCAGCTTTCTGCTGGGCTTATTTGCCAATGATGCAACTACAAGAAGCTTTATTTGTTACCAACTCTGTTCTTAAGTAAAGAAGTCGTTTTTATCAGAGTGAAACATCACATAACAGCTACAAACACCAGGCTTGGTGTTTCTTCAGTTCTGCATAGCCTCCTGACTGCAGGCCTTGCAGCTAATGCGAGAAAGTAATGTGCAAGAAAATAAGCTTCAGCTGAGTTTACAGAGCTGCTGAGCCCCAGAGACTCTGAAGCGTTAGAGGACACCGTGAGTTTAATATAAATGCTGCTTCAAATGTGCAAACACGAGTTTGAACAAAGCAGCAAACTCCCTCGGCCAAATGTGAAGACAACCAGGAAGTGACAAACATTGCAGTTTCCCCCTCATCCTCTAGGCGTTGGCACCAGAAAGGAGCAAGTCACCATTGACTCCCATAATGCAAACTTCACAACCATTTTAGTTGTAGTAGATCTAGTTTGCAGTTATAACTCGGGGGGGGGGGGGGGGGGGGGGGGGGGGGTATTTTTTGTAACTCTTCGGTTTAGGTATAACTAAATGCTTGAAATTATGAGTAATTAAATTTGATTGGCAGGTAGCATGATACCGTAAATCCTCTAATAGTGGCCCGTAGTCCAATACCGGCCAGGTCTCCTACATTAGCCAGTCTCGCTGTCAGCGGGCTAAATAAAGGCCGGTCTCTAATAGTGGCTGGCTTCACGTCACAAACCCAACCGCAATTTAGATTACTTTAAAGTACTATTGATCTTAAAATATTTTAATCAATGGCGTGCTTACCCACTGTTAATGAATTAGAGTCACAAAACACGACGGCAAGTCTGATCACGTATAAACAATAGAGTCACTTCTCGCTTCCTGTTCTCATGTCCCGCGTGATGTTGTGACTATCGCGTGACTTTCTAGGAGGCGCTCAGCAGCGTGGCGTGTCCTGTGTGACCAGATTCAGATTCAGATTTCAGATTTATTGGCCAAGTAAAATTACATTTACAAGGAATTTGTCTTCGGTTGATGTTCGCTCTCTAAAACATACAACAACCACAATAAATGAAAATAAAAATACCTAAAACCACATAAGAACATGTATACCCACACACATGTTCATTTACACACACACATATATACATACCCACACACACACACACATATATACATATATACGTACATACCCACACACACACACACGCACGCACACACACACACACACACACACACACACACACAAACACACACACACACACACACACATATCCATAAGCATACTGAATAAGTATTAAAACCTATAATAAAAGGATGGTAAAAGAATCTACAGACCACTTGACTTCTCTAAATCACAGGAGCGACGCAGCGCTTCCGCCTCAGGCGCGCCCAAATTCCGTGCGATCGGGACAAAAACAAGCGTGTTTTTTTGTGTCCTGAAAGTAGTGCGGCACAAAGGACTTACTGAAACGTATTGAGTGAAGACGGAACAGTGGATCATAATCTCCAGCCGCAAGATGAGCAGAAACGGAACGGAAAATGCTAGTTTGCAGGGATTGTACTGCACTTATAAACCGCCAGAACAATGCTTCTCAGTTAAGTGTTAACCTATCGCTAAACCATTCACATGAAGGAGTCTGTCCAGGCAGTGGGTGCTGTCACAACAATTCATAGCTATAGCCATTGGCTGTTCTCGTGGCTACGGGATAGCAGTCACAGCCATTTGTGGCTTCAGGCGCGTCCTCATGGCTGTGGCTACAATCAGAGCTCGGCATCCCTCGAGAAAAGAGCAAACGAAAGCAGTGGGAGAGTCTCGTTGCTGTTAGCCAATCAGAA